CAGCTACCTACTGGCGTCTCTTATTTTCTCGAGTTTCCCACAATCCTCCTACAAGAGGCACCTCGTCCGAGGAAAAATTGTACTAAGGGCAACTCAAAACATGTTGTCGCCTGATAACGCGTGCTACGCCGGATGCGTATTTCCAAAACCTGGCCCTTCCAGATCTGCCGCAGAGCGGCGTACTCTGATTGGCCAGATTACCGCCGCACAAAATATTGACGGCGACGCACATGCGGCACCGGTCGCCGGCGGGAGCGTCTGCTATACTCCGGCGGATACTTTGGTGTCGTGGTGACTTAGTGGACGCGTTGTTGTGTAGAGTACGCGGACAGGATATAACAAAGGAGGCCTTTCTGCGAAACGTGAAAGCTTCTTAAAGCACAATGAGCCATAACAAAATACAGCGGATTTTGGACAATGTATGTTCCGAACAAGGCCAAGATCGATGCGCAGGAGCAGCTCTGTTTCCGTTGCTATCCGAGCTTGCCATCGCGCTCCCAACACTGCCCATGTCGAATGCCGCCGTGGAGAAAGTATTCTGTCACGTATCCCTCACGAAATCAGGCCTAAGAAAGAACATGTCCCTTCCAACTCTTCAAAACGTCCTCTATGTAAAGTTTGCTTTCCATGGAAAGAACGAGTGCTGTAGGACATCAACTCTCCTAAAGAAGTTTTTGCCCGTTTTAAGACGGAAATCATATATGAGGCGCGAGCGAGTGCTTCATAACTATGTGACTGCAAAAACGCGCCTGGAAAATTGTTTTTGTACTGTTGTGCTTGAAATAAAGCGTTCAATACATTTCAAGATGTCGTAGATCTTGCGAGCTGCTCCTAAACCCCAGATATATCACTGTTAAAAAAAACCGTAAAATTACAGGGAGCGCCAACGGGACCAGAGCCGCTCGCGAGCCGTCGTTGCCGTTTTGCCGTAAACCCCTCCTCCGCACCCGAACGAGCAGACATAGCCGGCGCGCAGCGCAGGCGCAGTCAATGCAGCCCTTTCATTCGGAGAGGCGGAAGATCACGTGAACTTCTTTCCCGCGCTCCCGTGGGACGCTGTCCGCGTGAAGGCACCCCTGGCGCATGCGCAGTGAGCGAGACCAGGCAGATCCCGCGCAATTCGGCGACTTTGTGGACGTGTTATGGTTCGCCGCACTCAAACCTGGAGATTTCACGGTAAGTGCATTACATCCCCTTCCTTGAACTGTTTGATGAATACCTGTCGCACCACTGTTTTCTTAGATGAGTCGCGCAGTTGTCTGGATTCACTATTATGCATTGCTCGCCACAAGCGTGTGCTGACGATGTGCTCCTCGCGCTGGAGGTGCGTAGCGTTTAGGGTAACGGGGTCTTTGCCTTGTTGCTTTCGAGTGTTACTCTAGCATTATCATGAGACGTAGTGTGTCGGTGTTCTACGTTTTTCTTGCTCCCTTCTTAGTTAAATATTATTCGGCTACGTGAAACGCTCTTGGTTTAGCGCTCCGCTGGAAAGGCAGAGGTCCCTGGTCCGGTACGAGGACCATGCACGCCGATTTTTTCGGTAGCTGCTTGTTCGACATAACTTGCTGTTCAGGTGCAATTTGTTTCGAAACATGCAAAGCGACACAGTGCAATGAGGTTTCAAGTGCCCACAATGGTATACTATATACGTTTGACCGAAGTGTGAAAAACTAGTGCCAAAATTCCCTTTTTTTTTTTTTTGTGCGTTTGTGCCGAGCCGACATTTAGCTTCCGTGCACTCTCATATTGTTACGGTAGACTTGTGTGGATTTAGGAAACTTTAAATTGATCGATTCAACCTTCGTGTCTAACACCGCCAGTACTCAAATGCTTTGCAGTACGCCTTTAAGTCCGCGGTCTTTTTTTTTTTTTGAGTTCGTTGAGTTTAGTTTTCTCCATTCTTTGGTGCGCTACTGTGTAGCGACGGCGTCGGACTTTACGTAATGAGTCATGACTGAAACACATTAGCGAAAAGCGGCCAAATTGTATGAAGAAATCGCAAACGAAAATCAGACAGCAACTCCTATTGCCTTCTTTTTTTTTTTTTTCGGCGGGGAAACCCGGAGGGGGACGGAGCGATGTCGCAACGTTACTTCGGGAGTTCCGTCCGTTCCGTCCCTCTCCGGGTTTTCTACGCTATGGCGCAGCCGCGGCAGCCGCCGAGGCTGGTTGAGTGTTTCCGCGATTTTTGCTCAGCTCTGTACGAAGTCGGATTTTCGCCGCAGTGCTCCGTGGTGAACGGAGCACTGCGGAGACTGAAAATTATGTGGGCTGTTCGCTGTGTTGTGGCATTCGGGCAAAGCAAGATCGCGGTGAGTTTGCTCGTGTACAGTCGGCGGTAATAGTTTGCGGGGCGCGGGAGCGTCAGCCGAAATGACTGGTTGCGCCTTCTGCGGCGCGCGGCCGCTCTCAAGATTCACGCTTCGAGAATGTGCTTCCTTTCGTGCTCGAAGCCATGACTTTTTCGCTCGCTTCCGCCCGACGTGCACGAGATAACCGGGGACCGGCGCAAGGTGCCGCTATGACAGCCCTCACGCCGCGCGTCTGCCTCAGCCACCGTGATGGGTGACGAAACTCGCGCATGCTACAGATAACATTTCGCGGCACCTTGCGCCAGTCCCAGTTATATGTCGTGCGTGTCGAACGGAAGCGAAAAAAGCATGACCGCGAACAAGAAAGGAAGCGCGTGCGCATAGCGTGAGTCTTGGAGCAGCAACGTGCCGTGAGAAGGCGCAGCCAGTCTTTTCGGCAGGCGCTCCCGTGCCCCGCAAACTTTTGCTCCCGACTGTACGTCGGCCGATGCTCGTGTCGGTGCACATCTCAATCTCAACTAAACATCGAGCGCCGATTGTGGCTGACTCCATGCATGTAAGAGAATTAATCTACCCGGAACTTCGTGAATAAGAACGAGACAAGCGTGTGGCTGTAGAGGGATGTCGTGACCGGTGGCATACGTACACTGGTTTCCGCACGTTGCTTCTGTTTACTTTATCTGTTGTAATAGCAGTCTTTGTACCGGTGCGTGAAGGCCTCGGTTGCTTCGAAAATCAAAGCTGATACAGCCAGTCTCTTTTTATCCGATGATTCTGTCAAGTCCTAATCACGGCGTCATATATATCTATCTATCAAGAGTGCACGTTTGGTGTTGTTTGCGTTAATTTTACTGCGGAGGACGTTGCCTTTTGTGCGGGATCAGTCTTCTCGTGCAACTTGTCTTCCAAATTTGCGTGCAACAATTTTTGCACCCTCCGATTTCCGTTCTATATTCGGTTTCTTTTCTTGCAAATGTGTTTCAGCCTTAACATTTTGCCGCGGCGCAGCTCTGTTCAGAGAAGAAACGGTCTCAGCACAGCAGGGTGCACGAAGCGCGTCGTGTGTTTAGAAAAAAAAAAAAAAAAATTGGGCAAGAAACTTTTTTTTTTTTTTTTTTAAATTGGCTTGTTTTTTATGTTTATACAGCCTTGATGGAGATGCGCCTCAACGGGTAATCGGTCTCTTAGCTGTAGATGAGAAATTTAGCCAGTGCGGTACAACCGCTAACCTGGGATTTTTAACGTGCATCACGCAGTAGTCATCACACGAACGCGTGCCGGTACAAAACTCATACAGATCGAAACGGGCGGGGGCGGCGGGGATCGAACCCAGAGGTTCCCTGCGCAAGCTTTCGCTCCACGCTCCGAGCTGAGACGCGTTAGCCCACTCGGCCACTTCCTCCCTTGGCAAGAAATGATTTGGTAACTGCACCGTAATAAGTGACTGCCAGCAGTGGAAAAAAAAAATATGTTGCCTTATAGTTGGAGTTAAGTCATCTGCCTTATTGTAGTATTTGAGGTAGAAAGGAGAATAAACTAGATGCCTGGGCCGGCTTGCGAGAGGCAGCGTCTCGGTTAAGACTGCTCAAAGAAAGCGCTGCCAAGGCTCGGGCGCGCGTGCGTCTAGGACTCGGTTTAAGCTCTAGCACTAGCCTTGACAGCGCTTTCTTTGAGCAGTCTCAACCGAGACTCTGCTTCATGCAAGCCGGCCCACATCTCTAGAAAACCAATTTTCTGCCCCAAAAGGTGGTAAAAAAATTTGTCACATTACTGTGCAATTGCGAGGCGTTAGCGTGAAACATTTTCGCGGTAGACTGCAAGCAAACAAAAAATGGAAAAGAGCAAGAAAAAAAAAAGAAAAACAAAAACAACAGTAAGTCAAGCGTGAAATGCTAGGGAAAGGAAGGTGGGAGTGGAGGAAGCAGATGGATAGCTGGCAAGGAGAGGAGGAACTTCCCTTCCCTTGCCAGCGTTGTTTACTTACTACTTTCCATGTTCCTTTCCCTTGCCCTTGGCAGCAGTTTAAATCAAATAGCGCTGCGTCGTCCTGGCTTTCATTGCACTGCTCAAGCTATGAATGACAAGGCGCTATACCATTCCAGCCCAGTTCTGTTCACCTGACCTCTCAAGCCAGATGCACAGAAACGAAAAGTTTCACATGACAATTACTGCGGCCATTCATATCACTGCCCAATGTTAGCATGCTAGACTGTAGCTCCTCATGGCTCGGGCAACCTAAAAGAACACGGAAACATAGTTTTGTATGTTAAGACTGGACGGCAAGACGACACGCACGCTGCAGGTGTAGACAGGCAGGTGCAGGTGTTCTATCTTTCTGGTGTAAATAGAAACATTGCCTTCAGATTAACGCAGAACATTGAGGATGGCTGTTTTGTACTTCAGTTTAAACCTGGCTCCTGCATCTGAAATAGCCAGTTTCGACAAAAACTTGTGGTGCTTCATTCAGAAAAACTTGCCCACTAGTCATGAAACCTTGATGATTGCTTCGTCAGTGACACTATGTGGCACACATTACAAGCCAGGTTCTTACATAGTGCTTGGTGGGGACCAGTACAACCTGCAGTTCGGCCAGCTTCTGCATATTGTGGTAGAGTCTGGCCATGAGGCAACTCCATTATTTCTTGTGAAAAAAGCAGCGTCTGCATTCCTCCCAAACTTCAGGCTCTACAAGTTGATAGAATTGGAAGTGGAAGAGCTACAGTTGTTGTCTTCCTCTCAGCTGATGGACATACATCCATATGTCCCGTACAGACTCCTCAACTGTCTTGGGATCAGGCTGCGGAGTTCACTATTGTTCGACGATTTTGAAGGTATGATACCAGTGATTTGTGTGGAAATTACCTTAAATTTAAAAACGGGGGACGCCCTGCAACTCACTTTTTCAGTATGGCACAGACAATTGGAAAATGTAGGCCAAACAAAAAACCTCTAGGCAGGCTTTTCTAGTTTTTTTAAATATATTATATCATTCGTTGCAAGTTTTTACTAAGGTGCCTTCATGAGCAGTTGGCATAGGGTGATGCCAACTGCCTGTTTCCCTTTCCCACACCCTCGTCCACCGCCATTTTGTTCCTAATTGTTTCCCCGTGCGCCGGAAAGTGGCCTTTGTGTCCATCGGTCCTCCTATCTTAGGGGGGAAATGCTAATCCTCGCTCCGTGGGCTCCACAACGCTGCTCCGAACTTGTGAGATAAGGTGCTTGTTTCCGGGAGGGTTATAAGCCCACGGATTATCGCCAAGGACCAAAATGGCTGCTGGTTTGTCGGTGAGTGGTATTACAAAGGTGGCATCACCCTAGCAAAGCGCACATGAAGGCTCCCTCGTTTTTACACCCGCGATGTCTAATAACTTTAATTTGCAGTAGTGGGGAGTAACGTAAATAGGTTTTCATTTGGAAAAGTCGTGAAATTATCAGGGAATATCGTCAAAACGTTGGCCCCACCAGGGAAAATGATCAGTAAAAGTGGAATGGCAATGCGGAACAAATCTAGATGGTTGTGCATGAGCACAGCCATGCCGAATAATGTTTCGGAAATATGATCCTTTGACCCGCAAATGCTCACGGGATTTTATCAAAATAGTCAAGGGAAAACTGGGAAAAGTCGGGGAATTTAAGATCACTAATTTTGTAGACACCCTGTTAAATTGTAGCAATGCTTTACCAGCTAACTTGCACCCTTATTTTTTTTTCTATATTACAATTGTTTTGTAGCACATAACATAAACTTTGCATTTGTACGTTCACTGTTTTTCAGATGATAGTCAAGATCTGGAGCCTTGATAAAACAATAAAGAAACTGGCAGTGGTTGCCACTTTCGACGCCTTAAAGAAAAAGGCCATAGAGTTCGGTATATGCTGCAATGGAGACATCAAGGTTTGTAAAATAATTTCAGCAGTTGAAATTATGTACTTAGCCATTCTTATTCTCAAAATAACATACCCTGTTTCCAGGTACACATGCTGGATGGAACGGAGGTGGACGAAGAAGCTTTCAATTGTTTGAATCAGTCACCTGAGGATGCTACTTACACCTTCATTGCAACAACATATTCTTGGGTGTCAGGCAAGTCCAAGCTTGAATTTACTTTAGGAATGGGGGAGTAGTAATTTTTCAGTTAAAAGCAAATGTGAGGCAAATTATAACGTAATATGAGAAATGAAAAATAACTTCGAAACGCCCAATTTCATAGAACGGAAAAAAAAGAACTTATTTAATTGATAAAGGTTCCCTAGCAAAGTTTCTGCCAATTAGTCTTTATTATGCAGGCAATTAGCAACAGACGTGCAGTATAGAGTTTTTGCTTCAAACGTAACACTTCGATGGCATAGTTAGAAGTTTCAAAGACTGTAACCACAAACTACAAAGAAATGCACTTGGATTATTTTGCTTGGAATTTTAGTTACACAATATAATAACAATATTTATTAATATTCTAGAATATGTCTAGTGTGCAGAAAAGTCAGCTGGTATTCTCTTTCGAGAAATTGGAAAACCTATAGGTACTGTGCTCATTGTGTTTTGTAAGCGAACACATCAAATACATAAAAAGTTAGCTTATTGCTTTTCTCTGACAGAACTCAGATGCACAAGAAGAGAACAAAACAAGCAATGGCACTGGCACCAGTGGTTGTATTCACCGGAATGAATAGCCAGCACTCTTAAAGGCTGACGAATGCAAAACGATTAGGAAGCTGTCCCTCGCTTTCCTCGTTTGCACCCCAAAGAGGAAGAGACACTGCCTCCTCTCTGTGGGGGCTAGTTTTTGGACATTCTGTTTTCGGGGAAGGAGGAGAGAAGAGTGCAAGAGGGAGGGGAGAGAAGGACACTACGGGAGGGATTTCAGCCATGCAGAAAGTGCTCCCTGTGCGTCTGCCTTTAAAGGGGAGTAAAGAGGTTCTTAAGAAAACTGAGTTTGAGCCAGATTCCAGCATAATGTTATCCCGTGAATCCTGAAGATGTAACTAAATGCGAGAAAACTCGAGAGACCTTAGGCCGGTCGTTGCGTCATATCCAGATTTTTCGGCCGCCAAGCGCGTTTTGCTCATGTGGGCAGCACATGGAATTGCAAGCTTGCCAGGTATATTACCCTGCATGTGACACTGGTTGTGACGTCTTTGTCTGGCTTTTCTGACAATATCAAGAGTGCACGTGCATAGCTTTGTTGGGCATTGTAGGCACGCAAGAGCAGAAGTTCCGACAAATCTGGGTACGATGTCACGCTCAGAGATGACAGGGCTTTGGCGCTATTTCCAAAGCACTGTTACGACTGCTCCTTGCATCAGACTGAAAAATAATTCCAATATTTGTGATCCTGGGGGCTAAAAGAAGATAATTAAAGTGTTTAATTTTTCGAAAATACAGAACCACTTTAGCTTCCCTTTAAGGCTTGTCGCGGCAAAGCACATTTTTTTGTCGTGAAGCACAAAAAACAGGTCCACATGCCAGTAGGCTCATACGAACGGTGGATCAAGCTTGTTCAAGGGCACATCAAACAGTCGGGTGGTGCAGGCTCTTTAAGGGAAGCCTTTTATATCAAATAACTGGCAAAGATTGATCATCTCTAGGCCTTCAAAAAGACCAAAGGAAAAAAGAAATTACTTGCTTGAGCTAAACGTGTTTGTCAACCTTGCTGGCCTAGTCATTGTTTTAACTTGTTCTCGAACGTTTTGTCAGCTTGTACAGCTAGCTGACACCATCTGACATGATGTTGCGAGGAGATACTTTACAAAAGTATGTCTTTGCAATCGGATGAGGCGGGATGGCGGTTGTTATGATAACGCCAATTTCCTACTTTTGATATGATTACATAAATACCATGTCTTTTATGTGTACCTCCCTCAAGCTCCATTGCTTTGCATCGTTGCTCTGTGATAGAGCATCTTGGTGGCCCGAAGTTTGGATATCGACCTCCTTCAGTTACTGTCGCATTGTATTTTGAAATGTTCCCTAAGTTTAAACTGAATATGGTGCTGCACTGTTATTTTATTATCACTATTCTTTTCTTTGTCTGCCTCTTTTGGAATGATGTTTTGCACTTCGTTTTCAGGTCAGCAGGGGGATGTAACATCAACACAACATGAAGGTGTCGATGTGCCTTTTGGTTCACAAGTTCAGTTTCCCTGGAGCAGCCTTAGCAAAGACGTCATGAAAGCATTGCAAGAGGGGACTCAACTTAACCCGACTGACCGACAAGAAGTTGTGCGCATGGCTGCCGCGGCCTGTCAAAAAGTCAAGGCTAGACCATCTGCACGTGAAATAAGGAGTGCTGCCAGTTACCTTGTTGAAAAGTACCCTGGGGCACTTGGGGACCCCACTTCCTGCTCAGCTACGTCAGTTTCTTCTGTAGGCCTGGCCTACAAAATAGAGAACAGGATGGAAAACAACAGAAGAGGATGCAAACGCCTTGCGGAAGCGCTCACTGGTGGAACCATCAAGCTAAAGAAGCAGACATCTCGATCAGCTTACGGTTGTGTGAACTGGCAGCCAGCTACTACGAGTTCTTCACTTCATGAAGTGGAAGCCTCAAGAAAGTTTCTATTGGACGAGGCATTGAAGTCGACATGTGAACAAAACATTTGCCTTCAAACAAAGACCATGACTGAGTGCTACCCCCACATCAGGACGTTCATAAATTCGTCAGAGCCTCCATATTCAGCATTGGATGTCAAACGAGCGTGGCCACTTCTGTTTGTGAGGGAGCACCTCCTTGATCACTTCCATAGGTATAATTTTCATACATATTTGTCCATGAGTTTACTCAGGTTTAGAGTTATTTACAGGGTGTCGAAAAATGCAAAGCTATAGTTATAGAATTGACGACAATGGGAGCTGCAAATTTGACAAAAAAGTGTTCCTTTTATTATTAACCATTATAATGCTCGGGCTTGGTGGCCACTGTTTTAGTTGCATATGGACTAGGGCAGCGTGAGTAAGCAATTAGAATGTGGGGAATATCATTAACTATAAATGTAACTATGGCTTCAATGTTCTGATAGAGCAGTCACAATAGCATGTGGTAGAGGGCAAGAAACATTTCAGCACTGCAGCATGGAGGCACACATGACTGAGTGAATATAAAAAGAAGGCAAATTGGAAACTTGCAGCAGTTTCAAAGTTTTTCCTGGGATGTGTGCTTGAAAATCTTTTTGCACAAATATACTTTTTAAAAAAGCCAGAATATGTTCAGTTCTTTGCAAGAGTCACTCACTCCTAAAACAAACATGCACTATTATGCTCATAAAAAGGTGCTTTGAACGACGAATACGATTGCTACTTTCACCATACAGTGGTCCTTGCAGATTTCTTTCCTTCAATATTTTGCTTTTCACAAAAAGGTATTTTGATTACAAAGATTTTGGATATGAAGAGTCAGTGATAACATGAATTTTTTAAGGCTTACAGGTGTCTGTCTGGACGGAAAATTGAGCCTGCCCAAAGATGTCCTCCTCCTTGTGACATTCCTACGTTCAAGCCCCAAAAATGATGCTGCGCTCGAGTGGAGCCTCAAAATCAACAAGGCCGAGGCAGAGTTCAAAGATCAAAACGCAGCAGCTGTCTGCCTCCTCCCATTGCTTGCATCCTACTTTCAAGAAAACCTCGGAGAGCTCTTCCAGTTACATCAGGTAGGAGCATTCATAATAACCAGGCTATTTGTTTCCAAAGACAAATCCTCATGACCCTGTTGAAAATAACTTCCTGGAAGTCTCACACAGGCAGTCAGCATTCCACTGAGAAACTATGCATCTGGAAATACTAAACTGTTCTTCATTTTTTGAAATTTTCAGCTATATCAGTCTTCCTGTATACCGTAACATACCGCTCATGCACCTATGTCCGAATAGGCGCCTACCTAGTGATTTTTAACCATTGGAGCAATGCCTTGTACTCTTTCTGCAGTTTCACTTTCTGAGCGACCATCCCCCCACTTTTTCAGAATTGTCTGCAAAATCTTGTGAACGCTTTCTTGGTATCTGACGACAATGCTGATAATGAGCACGTAAAAAGTGAAATTACTATTGCTATACGAGGAGCCAAACCTTCCTTAATCTTTTCCTGGCTGAGGTGGCTCAACTTATTATACTTGACATTAAAGTGCAATGGGAAGATATGCAACTCTAGGCTGGGTCATCTTATAGTATGTTCTACATAAATATTTCACTAAACCAAAGGGGGAGCGGCGGTGGGCACCCACTCTTGTACCACTTGCTTCTAATGGGTTCACTTGATGTTTTGCATTTTTGGGATCGAGTGTTAGAGTTAACACAAAAATTATGCTAGAGAATTAACTAGTGACAAACGTTTGTACTTCCACTTCAACTCCTAAGTTAGGATCATTTGTTTTTAATATTAGCAACTTCCTTGTCCCGCAGGTGTAACAATGAGGCTTTGTGACAGATATCAGCAGATACATTGCTGCTTATTTAACGTTGTTTTTTAGTTGTTATTGAGCGTTAGGACAACAAATGTTTGTAGTTAAAAATGTCCTTAGTTGAGAAAATAACAGGAACTGCATCCTTTAATCTCAGCAAACGCTATCTCCTGTAGGTGGGATGAAGGGTTAAAGGAAATAAGGGTGAGATGAAAATAAAGTGGGTGAGACGAACCTCTTTCACATAAGTGAGGGGTGAATGGAGAATAGCCTTTTGGTATTCCCGAATACCCGTGGGATTAACAGACTCTTTCAAGGTTTGGGGTTCTTGCATGTGTGGGCAGTACCAGGAGTGCGCTTCTGAGACTGTGACCTCGCAGTGGGCGCATAGGCTCTTGTCTTTTTCCTGTGTATGGCGGCTTATGCACCATGTTCTTGTGGGTGTTACATTTTTCTGTTTCCTTGGAAACTATAGTGGTGTGGGTCCGTTGTCTTTTCAGGCGAACCTCTTCCCACCTGGTAGAATTACCATCTGGGAGTGGGTCTAAGTCTTCTTTGAGTAGAGCCGTGAGGTGTTTTCAGTGGGCCTGTTGTTTGGCTTCCTGGGAGAATAGGGGATCCTTTGTGTCTTTTTCAATGAAGGCGGCGCTGTTGTCACCAAGGATGGTAAGGATAAGGGAAGACAGGAACTCGCATGCGGCGGCAGACGCTGTTTCATTTACTTGGGAATGGTTTGGTGTACCAGGAAGCAGTGGATTTAAAGTTGTCGGCCTTCCTGCCAGAGTCCTTTGAATGTGCCCCACACTCGTCGTGTGTTATCTCGGAGCTTGCACCTCAGTTGTTTACGGAGCTTCTGGGTGTATTTTTTATCTTCACCGTGGTTGCATTGAAATTGGCTTGGAGTTTTCAGTCCTTATTTCTCCTGTAACATTGTTGGGCTTGCAGTCCGATAGCACACAAGTTGAGGAGATGAAGGTCGGGGTCTGGGTCGTCTTGTTTGGCTTGGTACTTCTGAGTGGATGTGGCTTTCATTATTCGCTCACCTAGACACTTTTTCAGGTGCTAGGTTAATGAAGCTGATCTGTCATTTAGTGTTGGGGTGCCTTTCTGTCATTAATTATATTTCGACGGGTAGGTGCTTGCTTCCCAAGGCGTCGGAGCAGTTCGCACTCGGGCTTGGATGTTGTGTATGGCACATGTCAAGTCTTGTGGTGTCGTTCTCAGTGCGACGTTTGCCAATGCGAATGGCAGTCTGTTTTTCTTTGAGAATTCATAGATTGGCCTGCTTGGTGGGTGTGAAGACATTGCACTCTCTGTCATTGTCTCGCTTGTATCCCCATATTCGTGCATCTGCGGTAAAGTCGCCGGCCGCGATAAGTTCTTCGGGCATCATTCTTTGCGATCCGCCTTACGTCGTCTTGCTTGTGTCCCACAGTTCTACATTCTGTGGGAATAAATAGACCCATAGATGTATGGTACCTTCACTAGCATTTCGTGCTTTCGTGCATTTCTCAATTAACCACACGTTTTCTGACTTTTCTTAGGTGACAACAGAAATCACAGAGGAGTTTCGTAACAGTCTGCCTGCTTCTCCTGTAATTGTTGCACTGGGTGAGCTTCATGTGTCTTTTCCTCGCATGCTTTGTATTTTTGAAGGTGCTTTCTTTTTTAATTTGTGTTGAATTCTGGAACGACAACCTAGACCGTTTTATCGTGGGTAGTGCCATTTTGAGAGTGAGAGAGAGAAGAGGGGTCAGTGCAGATGACTCCTAGTGACTCAATTGTAGTGGGATACTGTAGTGGTGTAACCAGAGTGCTGGAATACTGCAGTGGTGTAACCAAAAGGTGATGTGCCGATTTTGACCAGAGCTAGATGGACGACCACATTGTTTGGTTTTGGCAGCCTTATCAAGCACCAATGTAAAGCACATGTCCTGGTATTATACCACACTTCGACAATCAATGCTTGATTGATCCAGCAAGAAAAAGAGAAGTTTTTATTTTGGTTTGTGAGTGCAGGTGCCACAAAACGGCATTCAGCCCAAACAGCAGGTGCCTGTGAGGCATTTGATTGTTTGGGCCTGCATTCTGTGTCTTGTCCAACCCGAACAGCCAAATTTTCTGCTCGTAGAATGTGTGGTCGCATGCGGTCTCCAGTCATTTAATTTCTAGCTAAAGCAATTTAAACGAAACCGACGACTGGCATTGCACGTTGGTATCAGACTTCCATGCTACTGATTCTGTTCATAAACTCAACAAAAAGTGTTTGATTCTGCATGCTCATATACAAATTTTTTGTTTTGTTCAAGCCTTCAGGAGCACTTTGCATAACTTAATGTCATTACTGGGTATGGTTGCTCAACACTATTTAGTGCGACCCTTATTTGGCTTGGCATATAAGGTGTGCCTTATCTGTGATTGTGATGCATCTCAGTCTCAAATCTCAGATATGCGTCACAATCCGATATCAGTGTGCCTACCTATTCAGTGTTCCTGCTGGTAATACCTCTATAGAAGTTTCCAGATGTGAATATGACGATGGTATTTTTTTCTTCATTTAATGCGTGAGCGTTATAAAGCCCTATTAGAGAAAAAGCCGGCGTAGTGGTGTCGGTCGCATGACTTTTCTGGTCACTTGACTAGATAGGTCGATACATCTGATACTAACACATTTTCTCCGCATTAATTACATTAATCGCTTGTTTCCCTTCTAGGCCGCTCACTTTTCTAATGCAGCTGCCAGCTGTTTGTGGACCATGAGGTGATGGTGGAAGATGTGGGCTTTCTGCAAGCTGTGGAGCTCCTTTTCGCCCTTTATTATTGTTTAAACATCCAGTATGCCAAAAGTGCGGGAATCACACTTGAGTTCATTCAGAGGTATGGTTTATTTCCTTCATAATTTTGAGCCTCATGAGAGGCAATAAAGAGCAACTCTGCTGAATTTTGGCTGAGAAAACGATTAGTTCTCTTTATAATCATCTAGGAAGGCTACAACTGAAATCTTTCTGTATATAAAATTGGACCCTCAAAGTTTGACAAGCGCTAATCTGCTAATTTTAGCGAGCGATGTGCTGGCTAGCCAACTTTGGCACTTCCTTCAGATGTGACGTCGTGTTGATGTCTGTTGTATGCACCGGCTTTTTTCTCTTTCAACGCCATCACATGTCCAGTCGGTTCAGACTACACTACCTAGAGTTGACCCAGTGAGTGGGGTAAATCACGTAATCATGCATCTGCCATGGACATGAGTGTGCATGCAACTGACGTCGCTGCTCGCCCTTTGCCGAAGTTTCGGTTTCAATTTGCGACTTGAGTTATAAATAGCAAAGTTGCACAAACAATATTCTACTTTTCGTGAAACAATGTAGAGTTGTTCATGAGTGCTTTTCAAAGTAAGGTCATCCACTATCTTGAAATTTTCTGAATTGAGTAGAGTTGCCCTTTAATTTATCACTGGCTACCCACATTTCCAAGCTCAATTTCAGAGTCCATTATTAAACCACAATAGGTGTTGTATTCACGGACCACAGAATGAATAAAACGTGCTTGGGACGAAGGAGACGACAAACATTTCTTTCAACTAAGAACAACAGGAATGAACTTAAGAGCACTCCGTGCAATTCAGACTGCCAAGAAAATGGAGAGAAAGGGAGGCAGGAAGATAAAAAGGAAAGTGTAAAGTTAGAATTGTAACTCATGCTGTTACTTCACTCTTTTTCTTATTTCCTTCCTTACAATTTTTGACACTTACCTTTCTCTCTTTCTGCCTCCCTTTCTCTCAATTTCCTTGGCGGTCTGAATTGAAGGAAGTGCTTTTAAGCTCATTCATGTTGTTAATTAAAAGAAATGTTTGTCGTCCTTCGTCCGGGTATGTTTTGTTCTTTCTGTGGTCTGTGAATTTTACCAACACACTCTTCAGTTACTTTAAAGGTTGTTATATCTTGCATAATAATTTGATTTAAAAATTTCACCTAATGTTACAATGTGACTATGTTTGATCCTATCCCAGAAATTACAAATAAATATGTCAATATATCTACTATTCCTATTGTTTTATCTTTACTGAATGTGTCATTTACTTATAATTCTATTTGGCATTCAGTTAGAAGGCAGTGTCATAAGCAGTATACATCATTAAATTATTTTTGGCTGGAAACAAATTGGAGCCTCAAAATATGTTTAATATACTCAGCTAATTATTTAAGAGTTTCTTTACTGCACCACACTATTCTGTATTACTCTAAGAGTGTCTACAAGTGATATGTGCAGATGATCTCTAATTCATAACTAAATTTGACTGATATACAACCTTTTCACAACTTTTTGAAGCTTTATTTCTGCATGTTTTAGTAGCATGTGGTTCACGTTTGATTTTGTACCTGAATACCTTTTTCTCGTCTTTATACATGTTTATCAATCATATGTTCTTTCGACAATGGCTGGCCAAAATGTGGCTTCCTAAAAAAAGAGAATGATTCTCTTACAACATTCCTTTTGCCATGTCTGGTGCTTTTAAGCAATCATTAACAGCTAGTTGAGTATTTTAGGTCATTCAACTGTCTGCAATACTAATTATGCAAATGAGTGCTTGCTTAATTACGAGTAGAAATGCAGAGGAGGAATTGCTTTGTGACTGTGTAGGACAACAGACAAATTTTAATGCTGTATTGTAATAAAAGAAATAAGCGCAAAGTAAGTACTTGTTCTTCTGTTTATGTCGCTGCTATAAAATTTACTTTTGTTTGCTTCCAAAGCTTCTCCTAAATGACTCAAATCAATTACATCGCTGGTCTGTTCAATATCTTTTTAAATCAACATGTTTTTAGTGTTTTGTAGGTCTAAAAGTTACATTATATGAATCCTACCCGTTAAGATGTGCCACATCGGGCTTATAACTTCTGAAATATTCCGAGTTCTGTATCCCCATCGCATCTGAGTGAGGGAAGCCTTGAGTGCCAGATTTTCTCCTCTTGCAGAAAAATGACACATTATTACAATTTTTTTTTTTGTTCCCTCATTGTTTTATTTTCCTCAAAATCTAGGCATGAATTTGTACCTTGACATATTTTCTTTAAGTGCACAGTCTGCTGGCCTAAATGTAGGTTTTGCTCAGCTTGTTATGGCTTAATTGTTATTTTAGGAACCTTCAACACACTTATACTTTTGAACTGTGCGCCTATGTGACTTTGGTGGCAAAGCTTGGGGCTTTCGACATTACTTGTGCATGTAAAATGTCAGCAAGTACTGATCCCAAATCCTTCACTGCAATTTTTTTTCACTTGTCTGGTTTCTGACCAAATACTTATGGGCCAATCTGCTATTTGTTTCAGATACCAAGTTGGTATCAAACAACATGATGGGTCACGACAGGAGGCCGGGAAATCGAAAGGAGCTCGGGCAAGAGCAATCAAAGCCGCCACAGATCTTGCTGCTTTTGAGAAAAAATGGAACAGTGTGAGTACATATTTGATTTGGCATGTGTACGATGTGGTATCAAAAGGTTTCCAGTCTTGTTTTGTATTAAAAAGAAAACCACATAGCGGCACGACACTGCATTCACAGGGGTCGAGGGCAGCAACCTTGATCTGTCATGGTGCTGAGCGGCTCAATGTGGCAATGCACAGGCGACTTGGTGCATGATTACAACTGGTAGCAGCATGCAAAAACACACGGACAAAGGGACGAATGCACAGGACTTCGGTGTTTCCTTTTCATTAAACATTTAGTTGAAGTTCAGCGCTCGCCTTGTGCATTTCCTCCCTTTGCCCTTGTGTTTTTGCGCGCTGCTACCAGAGGCTTAGAGCATCGCTCTGTGAGCTTGGGAGCCCCACTGTACAGGTTTTTGTGACTTCATGTGCGTGCACCTCTGCAATTTGTGCAAGTGGTTGTGGTCCTCCCGTAGCCTTTTCAATCATCTGAATATGAATTTGTTTTATTTTCAGCTCATCTGATGATCGATCGGATGCCATGAAGGTTTCTTTATAATTATGTTCTTTTACGGTTTACAATATAGTTCTTCAATTTCAAAACTGCCTCCGTTTTGTCTTGTCCCTTTTTTCAGACACACTACACTTGTTACTAAGGATGTGTCGTTATATTACGGAACTGTACTGCGCTAACTCATGATGCCAGACGTTATCTGTAACCCTCCGTAATACTACCAAGGCCGTAGCTGAGAGTTCACATTATTGTTACCGTACAGCGAGCACACAGCGATAGAAGTGCAGTACGCAAGTACGGGATTAAGGCTGCAAACTAAACTTGAGGTATGCATGCCGTCAAGCGTTCCGACGGTATTGAAGGCGTAAGGGAAGGGTACGGTAACTGAACTGTTACCGTTACAATACGGCAATGGAAGTGCAGTATGAAAATACGGGACTGAAACCGTACCCTTCCCTTACGCCTTCAATACCGTCTGAACACTCGACGGCTTGGATACCTCGAGCTAAGTTTGCGGCTTTAGTCCTATACTTGGGTACTGCGCTTCTATCGCTGTATGTCTGCTGTACAGAAATGATAATGTAAACTGTCAGCTACGGCTTTGGTGGTATTACGGAGGGTTACAGATAATGCCTGGCATCATGAGTTAGCGCAGTACGGTTCTGTAATATAACGGCACTTTTTTTAACAGTGTACAGACGCAGTGCTTTCGAATTGAGCTCGCACATTCCAGCGCACGACATTTTGGCTTCTGCAGAATATGGCTACTTTTGGGCTACATATATCTCTTGCATTTGGCTAGTTTTAGGCTACATCGTCTGGCATTTGGCGGATTGAGCTAGAAACCACCTGGCAACCCTGGTTCAACTTGTTATTAGTGGAGACGGGAAATGGGCCCAAGAATTCAATTCCGACTTTCTGAAAGGGATGATGTGATGGGGAGATGGAGTGCAGTGTACCAAATGGTTTTGTCGTTGGACTCTTCTTGGTTTGGCATTGGTGACAAGAACGAACATATTTGTTGATGGCACGGTACATTCTGGTCCAGAAGTAGTTGGTTCAGACTCCAAAGTACGTTTTGGAGAAGCCTAGATGTCCGGCCGTTGGGTCGTCATGATTTGCACAAATAACATCTTTTTGAAGCTCTCGTGGAATGACAAAAAGCCAAGGACGTCCTTCCGGTTCGTAATTTCGTCTGCATAGGGTGCCGTTGTGAAGGGCAAATAAACGCGCTGCGCGTGCTGTGCTCTGTGAGGCATGTGGGGTTACCCCAACACGGTAATCAATTATCGGTTTTAGGTAAGGATCAGACGCTTGAGCTGCAGAAATGTCAACTGGTGTCAAAGGTGCTGTCGTGAGCGAGTTTCTTGTGTCTTGCTGAGGAGCGACAACGGTAGCGGGCATCGAGACAATACCTCGAAGCCATCGGCATCGAGGTATTTTTTTCCAGATTTATAGAGGACGGTGAGCGTATAAACTTGCAGTTTGAGGGACCATCGCCCAAGGCGTCCTGGGGGGTCTTTCAGACTGGCGAGCCAGCAGAGTGCGTGGTGGCCGGTTACTATATGGAACTGAATGCCGTAGATATAGGGGCGAGATTTTGACACAGCCCATACAACAGCCAAACATTCGCGTTCAGTTATAGTGTAATTCCGTTCACATTGGGTAGGATTGCTACTCGCGTAGGCGATAGCATGTTGGCTGTTTGAAAATTTTTGAGCCAAGACGGCACCGATACCATGTCCACGGGCGTCTGTACGTATTTCGGTTTCGGCTCCTTCAGTAAAGCGGCCAAGAATGGGACTGTTCGTCAAGGCCGATTTAAGGGACTCAAAATATTGGCGTTGAAGTGGGCCCCATTTGAATGCGGCGTTATTGCGAAGGAGTTGATTGAGAGGTTTAGCGACGTGAGCAAAGCCAGGGATGAACTTTCGGAAGTAAGTGCACAGTTCAAGAAAAGCACGGACGTCTTTTTGAAGTTGCGGAACAGGAAATTCAGAAACGGCTCTGAGTTTGTCGCAGTCCGGGCTGATGCCACTGGCACTGGCTACATGGCCGAGTACTTTCAGTTGTCGAGCAGCGAACATGCATTTCTTTGAGTTTAATTATAAGTGTGCGGAGCGAAAACAACCAAGAACTTGCCTCAGCCGGTGTGAATGTTGATCAAGTGTGGTTGAGAAAACGACGACGTCGTCGAGGTAGCATAGACATATATCCCAGGTGAGGCCGCGGAGAAATGTATCCATCATCCTTTCATGTTGAATTAACCTGAGACTGGAGTAGAGAAGAAACATCAAAACGTAGAAGGGACAGAAAACAGACAGGACGACGTCTCAAACTCAGCTAACTCATTTATTTAGTCCACCTCCTTATGTAGTCTCAATCTCAAGGTCATCTCCACCAACACAAAAGGACAAAGTTAAACAGATCAAGCGCCACAGCCTTCATCACACAATGCAAGAACGTTGACTACATTTACAGATCGACGCGATAAGGCAACATCCACCCACCCCCAAGCTTGAACAAAAGAATCTCTTCCCCTATCATTTTATACACAGCTCATACTTCTGAATCATAACACGCCCTCTTCACAAAAAAAAGGAAAAAAAACAAAAACACTGAAACGATAGTAGGTAGGTAGGTAGAAAACGTTTATTGAAAACCAAGGACTACGAATAAAAAGATTATCCGCGCCGCAGTGATCATCGGATCTGGCAGCCTCGTTCTTGCGTGATTATGGGTGATGAGGGATGACTGTGCGATGGGTCATGAGGGGTGTTTTCATATGGAGTCCCCCAGATCTGCCTTGGCTACGAAGTCCAGAAGCGACTGGAGAATCCTCGTCCGGCGTTGGGCTTCGCCCTGCTGGTCCGTCCAATCCACGAGTCTCTTGGGTCTTTCTTCCTCAGGTAGCGTCTCGATGGCTTCCACTCTGCACAAGGCTAGAGCTTGGCATTCCCATAGGAGATGGTCGAGCCTGGGAATGGCTTCTGGATCCTTGCATCTCTGACATCGCGGGTCCGGAGGGACCGCGTACGGCTGCGTCCGTTGTAATTGCGAGAGGTTGATGTGGTACTTGAGCCTTGGCGTGACCGCGCCTTCGGTACGGATGCGCCGAAGTTGAACCGTTCCTTTCGCTTGAAGGTTTTCGCCGGAAGCGGGTAGTCCTCGGGTTGCCACTTTTCAGCTAGCTGAATCTTTCGCATCTTGCGACATCTACGAAGCTCTTCGACGGGGTCGTAGCATGCCGAATCTTCTGGCTGTTCGAGTGACTCTTCGCAGTTGGACGCCTGTTGGGATGGCAACTAAAAAATTCTTCTCATCCCGCACTGTGCCGCTGCGTGAGCCATGTCGTTTCCTAAGATCTCCTGGTGTCCCGGGACCCATCGTACACTGATTCTTGTGCCGTGCTCCCGATATAGTCTAAGCGCCGTGTCGAAAAAGGCGTGTACCGTCGGGCTTGCGGTTGCCTTGATCTTGTACATGTTTCGTACCGCCTCCTGGGAGTCCGTATAGATGACGAGGTTTCTCGTCTTACCGGGGAGGTGCCCGTATACTCCCAACGTGAACAGAAGAGCCGCTTCTTCTACCGTGCCCGGTGTGACCTCCGTGCCTCGTCCGCAGCTAGTGGCAATTTCAAAGGGAGTTGCCCCCTCGCCTCTGTTGAAGACTGCTCCTGCGGCATACTCCTTCCCTTTTGTTGCTCCATCGACGTACACCACTATGTTGTGCTGGCTCTCCAAGAGCTCATTGACCTCCTTCTTGTGCTGTTGGGAAACGATAGTAGGGCCAATACACGTGGAGACCCACAAAAAAAAAAGGTTGTACGGTTTTTTGGAAAATCACAAGCACTTAAAACAACCTAAATAATAAAAAAATTACACTTTTAGAAAGCTTTTTGAGTTGCTTCCAAACCGTAGCCAAGCCTGACTTATGCAGTTGCCTAGAGAGTTTATCCGCACGGTCTCCCTTACTACTCTCTTTACATCGTTCCTCTCTTTGCGTATTATTTCTGTCTCCGACCAGAGCGCCGTGCAGTTGTTACATTCATTAATAAGTTTTGCTATTTCTGAGTTTTGTGCTTTGTTCTTTACATTTCTTTCATGTTCGTTTAATCTGTCATTTATGCAGCGTGACGTCGGTCCTACATACTTAAATCCACACTCTAATGGTGTCTCATACGCAACCCCAGTCTCGCAACATACGGATTTTTCCGATGAGCCTTTTGCACTCGCTCACACCTGATTGAAATGGCGTCAGTTTACTTAATCTGAAATCCGAACTAAAGACAGTGTCTACTCCAAACTGCCTCGCACTTGCCTTCAGGTTGTGAGAGATGTCACAAAAATAAGGGATTACACCAAAGCGGTTCCTTGGTTTCTGTTCAGTGTCTCTCCTGCCTTTAATAAACAATTTTAATTGCCGTTTTATAAAACTGTCGTCATAACCTACAATTATCAACCTTTTTCATTGCCCTTCTACTGATTCAGTGACATGATGGACACATGACCTTTCTAACGCGTTCCTGACCAATGACTTTACAATCCCCGCCTTTACGGTCTTCGAATGACAACTCATTCTTGCCAAAACTGGTTTCGATTTTTCTTTACCATATTCCCAACATAACCCTCGATTTACGTGAATACGTAAATCGAGAAAACTGCAGAACATTATCTTCCGATTTTTCCAAAGTAAACTTAAATTCTGGAGCCGTTGACCTTATCACAAATTCTATGGTTTCTGTTAGACCTTCCCTAAACACGCATATTAAGATGTCATCTACATATCTTCTTCCTATTGCCGTACCCGGGGACAACTCCTGTAGATTATCGTGCACTGCGCGATTAAAAGAGTTTAAATGAACTTCTGCTAAAATCGGTGCGACTGATGACCCTATAGAAACACCTTCTTTTTGTATATACTTTCTTCCTTCGCACTCCACTACCGTTGACTTCAGATAAAACTCCAAAATTGTTAAGGAACTTTCTACCGATATACCTGAGCCCGATTGGAATTTAACAAGATTCAACTCCAATGCCTCCTTGACTCTCTGAATTAACCGGGTATTTTCTAAGGAATAATACAAGTTCTTA